CAAGCAGTTCCCCTTATTTAGTGTCCTACTACCGAATGCAATAACTCTTTCCTCGCCCTCTTGTATTTGAGAGAGAACTGCACCTACACCTGTTAAACTAGCATCTGTATCCAGTATGAACTTTCCTGTATCTTTGGGACAGTTAAGAACTGGGGCACTAGTGTAGGAGATTTTTAAGGGTTTCAAACAAGCGTTCACATTCTACATCCCAAGAAAACTTTTTATTCTTTCTGGTTAACATAGTGAGGGGAGAAGCTCCTGCTGAAAAGTTTTGAATGAATCTCCTATAATATCCAGCAACCCCCAAAAAGCTTCTGACCTCGTTAACGTGTGTAGGTGTAGGCCTAAGTACGAGACTGATATCTGAAACAAGTCACATTTCCTTGGTTTGAGTTTGAGACTAGGTTCTCAAAAACATTGTAAACTTCCCAAAGGTTATTAAGGGCTACTTCAAATGTGTGACCAAAAACGATAACATCGTCTAAATAGTCCAGTCCAATCCAACCCTCCAAGTACCAACTGAATAAGCCTTGAGAAAGTTGCAGGGGCATTACACAGCCCAAATGGCATTACATTGAATTCATACAACCCCTTGTGAGTACTAAATGCTGTTTTCTCTTTGTCTGTCTTACTCATACCACACTGCCAGTAACCACTGGCTAAATCTAGGATAATCAACCATTTAGCCCCAGCTAAAGTATATAATGTACCATTTATCCTAGGTAGAGGAAACGCATCTTTCTTAGTACAGGTAACTGCGTTTAACTTCTGGTAATAAAATGTCCTGGCTGGTTGCAGCGATAACACCTTCTCTCATATCCCTGAGAATGACTTTGACTTTGACCTTGACTGTATCTTTGACCTTGACCTTGGTTGTTACTTTGACCTTGACCTCTATCTTTACCTCTGTATGTACCTCGCCCCGACTGTTGTCCTTTCCCTCTTACAACACCTGTTAATTACTTTCCTAGTTTGTCCAACCTTTATGTTAATAAAGTGGCTAAATCTTTGCTTTGTTTTTCACTTTTCACTTTCCTGAACAACCTGCACCTGACCTTTTTCTACCTAATCAACAAATGCTTTTGGCTTTCTTTCAGAAGTACGAAACTTCCTATCAAAAGCTTCATATTAAATTGCAAGTGTAATCGCAGCCTCCAGGGAAGCTGGACTATGGAACTGTACGTGGCGTTTCATTTCCATACTGTTAAGCCCATGAATAAACTGATCTAAAACATAAACTGGACACTCCAGGAAATGCCTAAGTTCTCAACGATAGCTAACAAGACTTGCATTTGGATTTCGCGACCTGTGTTAAAGTTGACATCTGTAAGCGGTCTCCCTCCCTGGGGATCAAATTGCGCTAACAAAACATCCCTTATTTTCCCAAAGTCGCCAATCTGTGCAAGGGTCAAAGTCCCAAGACCTCTCTGAGCTGGTCCCCTTAAACTCATGGCTTATTGCTGTGCTTTCTCATAGTTCCCCCACTGACAACATACCCTGTCTCCTGAATACACACACACAAGCAAGCACACACTACACACATGGATTCACGTCCTCAAATATCCTTAGCTATTAATAGACCTTTCTCATTTTGGGAACACGGAGCAAGGAGACAGATACCCAGACAAGTAAATACAGGGTTCATTTCAAAAATAATTTTATATGGAACGTAGCGTATAGGGTATGCCAGAGTGTGTACACGCACAGGTACGTGACTACAGGTAAGCGAACAGGTAACATAATATGGAGACACATTATACAATTCGTGGCTCACTGCGGCAAGTATGTAACCGTGGTAATTGATATGTTAATTTCTCCACTAAGGATCTCACCCGGGACCTCTGTTGTATAATTCTGACGCCGAATGAGTTAAAAGAAATTCACCGAACCCGGTGTTAGGTTCATTTTCGATAAAAATGCCACCAATCCCCAAAAAGGTGTAAAATTACTCCACAAAAAGGGGCGTAGCGCCCATAGAAAAAAAAAGGGCTTACACATAAAAAAAAATGTGTATACCCAATGTCTAAACATCGACAATTTAACAATAACAAAAGATGACATAATGTAATCAAAAAAATAACATAATTGTATTTAATCATTAACTTAATATGTATACATTCTGTGATACTTCCCGGAATCCATGTTCGTCTAGTACTTCCAATCCAGTTTTTTCGGTGATATGTTGTGGTCTGGTAAATTACAAACATCAATTTACGAAACGAAGAAAGCAGCTAATACTTCCAACGTAAAAAAAGTAAAAAAAAGAAGCTATCACAAATGGTATCTCTTCAACTTTTAGCCATAATGCTTTCTCTGGGATAGAATATCTAGTATATCTAATTCCTAAATAACTACCACCACCTATTATCCTTTTCTGATGGAGAGTTGGGTTGTACAAATTCTACGTCATATTAAAAAAACAAAAATATCTGAAATAAAGCCACATGAGACTGAGTTGTCTCTAGAGAAACGTGTTTTAGAAAACCGCGCATTCGGAAATTAAAGTATATCATACATTTGAACGTGTTCCTCTAAAGATCTCAGCGCGCTCTTTTTAATTGAATTTGTCTAGAAAGAGTTACGTGTGTTTTTAGAAATACATTTTCGAGATAAATAGGTGAAAATCAGAATATTTACGAGAATTTCGGACTATGTCAATATGTATTTGCAATTATTTGCTGTTTCCCGCATGACCGA